CACTATGTTGAAAATGAACTTTACAACTTTAGGGGGGTGGGAAGGGAGGAGTTGGGGAGGTCCAGAAATGGATGGTAGGAGAAAAACAAAGGAGGAGGTAACAATGCTCTATAGGAAATGTACTCATTACCTTACTCATGTAACTGTAACCCCTCTGTACAGTATTTTTATCAAAAAATTTACATAATTAAATAACAAGAAAGAAAAGTAAATTCAAAATCTATATTTGTTAAATCACAAAAAAGGAAGTCCACAGATTGGAAAACGATATTTACTAGCTATACAACAGACAAGGGCTTTATATCTAAAATATACTTAGAGCTCAAAAACTTAAACCCCCAAAAACAAATCATCAAAGAAACAACTACCCCATTAATAAGTGGGCTAAAGACTTAAAGAGAGGCTTCTTCAAAAAAGAAATAAGAAGGGCCAACAGATACATGAAGAAATGTTGAACATTTCTTCAAATCAAGCCAGGCACCAGTGGCTCATGCCTATAATTCTAGCTACTAAGGAGGCTGAGACCTGAGGATCACGGTTCAAAGCCAGCCCAGGCAGGAAAGACCTTGAGACTCTTATCTCCAATTAACTACCAGAAAACCGCAAGTGGTACTATGGCTCAAGTGGTAGAGCACTAGCCTTGAGCTGAAGAGCTGAGGGAAAGCGCCTAGGCCCAGAGTTCAGGCCCAGGGTTCAAGCACCATGTCTGACAAAAAAAAGAAAGAAAGAAAAAGAAAGAAATACAAATCAAAACAACATTGAGATTCCACCTTATCCCAGTTAGAATGGCCGTTATCAAAAAAACTAACAATAACAGATGCTGGTAGGGATATGGCCAAAAGGTAACAAGACCACACTGTTGGTGGGAGTGTAAACTTGTTTAACCACTCTGGAAAGCAGTATGAAGGTTCCTCAAAAGACTAAACACAGAGCTTCCTTATGACCCAGCAATCCCACTCCTGGGAAGTTACCCAAAGACTACAAACAAAACCACACTACAGCTACTAGCACAACCATGTTCATTGCAGCATTACTTGCCATAGCTAAGATATAGAATCAACCCAGATGTCCCTCAGTAGATGAATGAATCAAGAAAATGTGGAATATATACACAATGGAATTCTATGCTTCCTTCAGAAAGAATAACATTGTCACATTCATAAGGAAATGAAAAGACTTGGAAAAAATTATGTTAAGCAAAGCAAGCCAAGCCCAAAGAAACATAGGCTGCATGGTTTCCCTCATTTGTAATAACTAGAATTTGTCTTAGCAAAAGATCACACTCAATATGTGCATATGACCTTATAAAATGATGTTTATCAAAATGAACTCTAGAAATGGAAACAAGTTTTTGTTGTTGTTGTTGTTGTTTTTGTTGGTCGTGGGGCTTGAACTCTGGGCCTGGGCGCTGTCCCTGTGCTCTTCAGCTCAAGGCGAGTGCTCTACTGCTTGAGCCACGGCACCACTTCTGGTTTTCTAGTAGTTTATTGGAGATGAGTCCCATGGAGTTTCCTGCCCTGGCTGGCTTTGAACCGTGATGCTCAGATCTCAGCCTCCTGAGTAGCTAGGATTACAGGCGTGGGCCACTGATGCCTGGCTCAAAACAAGGTTTTTTAGTGTAATGTTTTCTGTTATCTCTTCTTTGTTTCTTTGTTTGTTTGTTTGTTTCTTTCTTTCTTTCTTTCTTTTCACTTTGGTTTATCCCTATTGTCACTGTTTTGACTTCTGTACTCTTTGTCTTTTATATGTTTATCTGATTTGGGGAAGGGAAGAGGAATCAAAGAAACAGTCAACCAATGTAACAGTGTTACTCACTAAACACTGTATTGGAAATGAACTTTACAACTTGTTAGGGAGGGGAGAGTTGGAGGAGGGATGTGGGAGAAAATGAGGGAGCGGGTAACACTGTTCAAAAAGAAATGTACTCATTGCCTTACTTATGTAATTATAACTCCTCTGTACATCGCCTTTACAATATTTTTTAAAAAGAAAATATTAGACACATAGTAATTGCTTAGTAAATACCTGTGATTCCTTTGTGAGTATGCACCTTAAAATCAGATAAATAAAAGTCCTATAGATAAAAATAAAAAGTTTGCATAAGCCAGGCAGGCTCCTGCCTATAATCCTAGCTTCTTAGAGGGCTGAGATCTGAAGATTATGATTCACAGCCACCCTAAGCAGGAAAGTCTGTGAGACTCTTATCTCCAACTAACCACCAGAAAACTAGCAGTGGTGCTGTGGATCAAATTGGTAGAGCACTAGTCTTGAGCAAAAAGCTCAGGGATAGCACCAGGTTCCAAGTTCAAGCCTCACGACCAACAACAACAACAAAAATGTTTGCATATATGAAATGAGATGTCTTGGGGATGAGACCAAAGTCTAAAACACAAAATTCATCTATGTTAAACTGTGGTTCATGCTTATAATTCTAGAGGAAATTGAGATCTTTGGATTGAGGTTCAAAGCCAGTCTAAGCGGAAAAGTGTGATATGAGACTCTTATCTCCAATCATAGACCCAGAAATGGATCTGTGGCCCAAGTAATAGAATACCAGCCTTGAGCTAAAAAGCAAAGGGACAAAACCCAGACCCTGAGTTCAAGTCCCAGTACTGGCACAAAAGAAATGAAAGAAAAATAACAAAAAAGAAAAGACACAGAGACACAGACACACAAGATCAGGGAAGATATGGAGAAGGAGTGATGTACCTACAAACCAGGGAACATGGAAAATTTCCAGCAGTCATTAGAAGCCAAAGAAGCAAGATCTGGGGCTGGGAAGGTGGCTCAGTGGTAGAGTGCTTGCCTTGCATGCATGGGGCCCTGGGTTCGATTCCTCAGCACCCCATAAGCAAAAAGAAAAAAAGCCGAAAGTGGCGCTGTGGCCCGTGGTAGAGCACTAGCCTTGAGCTGAAGAGCTGAGGGACAGCACCCAGGCCCAGAGTTCAGGCCCCACGACCAGACCAAAAAAGAAAAAAAAGAAGCAAGATCTGTTTCTCTCTGAGCCTCTGCATGGAACTACCTACTGACACAGATTTTAGACCTCTAGTGTCCAGACTGACTGTGAGAGGATAAATTGTTTTGTTTTAAGCCACCCAGCCTGTGTTAATTTGTTACCCTAGGAGACCAGTATTGGGCAAGAGATCATTCACGTTTTTATGTTCATTTTTCCTAGAAGCCAGTTAGGTTACAATTGTGATTGTGCTTTTTAGTTTTTCAGGAAACTAAATGTGGGCCTTAATATGCCTCATCTCAGAAACTAAGCTCTATTTCACTAAAGAGAAAACAGATGATGTATTGTCTATAAGTGCCCTGTTTAAAATGTCCCTTTGCTTGAAGAAAGAAATATGCTGGACTTTTTTTTTTAGTGTGAACCCTGAGTATCCTCAAAGGATTGATTTTCTTTTTTAATCTAATGCCACAAAAATCTACAGTGTCCAAGTGTCTGCTATTAAAAGGTATTGTGTTTGCAGATCACTTACACACATCCATCTGGGTACTTTACAACATCTCTAAAGGACTTACACAAACCTAGTAAGTGTAGCTTGGGATCAATTGAGTTGGTCTTTTTTTTTTTTAATATTGCCAGTCCTGGAGCTTGAACTCAGGGCCTGGGCACTATCCCTGAGCTTCTTTTGCTCAAGACTAGCACTCTACCACTTGAGCCACAGAACCACTTCTGGCTTTTCCTGTGTATGAGGTACAGGAATCAAACCCAAGGCTTCATGCATGCTAAGCAAGGACTCTACCACTAAGCCACATTCCCAGCCCTCTTCACTTGGTAATACATTTGTTTAACATGTCCAAGGCTCTGGGATGGATCTCTAACACACACACGCACACACACAAATAATTTTCCAAAGTTATGTAGAGCTTCACTATAGCTCATGTTTACTGAATTCAGTCACTTCAGTTTAGATAAGCAAATAAGCAAAACCTAAGCCCTACAATATCAATGGCTAAAAGCCAATAATAAACACTCTTACTAGTAATAATCAATATCCGTTTTTGCTCAAGGCTGGCACTACTACCTAAGCCATACCCCACTTCTATTTTTTTTCTTGTATGGGTGTGCTGCTCTGGGGCTTGAACTTAGGCCCTGAGTACTGTCCTTGAACTTTTTTGCTCCATGTTAATGCTATACTGCTAGACCCACAGCTCTACTTCTGGCTTTTTTTCTATTTGATGATGATTAATTGGAGATAAGAGCCTCAAGAACTTTCCTGCCTGATTGGCTTCGAACCATGATCCTTAGATTTCAACCTCCCGAGTTGCTAGAATTACAGGTATGAGCCCCCAGTGCCTGGCCACTTCCAGATTTTTACTGGCTAATTAGTGATAAAAGTCTCTCCAATTTGTCTATTCTGCTGGCTTGGAACCAGGATCCTCAGTTCTCAGCCTTCTGAGTTGCTAGGTTTACAGGCATGAGCCACTTAATTTAGGATGAATACCCAGCTTAACATGATTTTTGCATTTAGACTTAATCTCCAAGACATCTCATTACATTTGTGTACTTTTTAAAAATCCAAAATCAGAAACACTTCTGGCTGAAGGACCAAAGGGGACAGGGGACATTATCAGTGCTGGTCATGAGCTGTTCTCTAGAGTTCCATTCAAAATTAATGTTATTCAATAAGAAAATTTCAGTTAGTTAGTTGGATGCTGATCATGAATTTTTCTTGGGACTAGTACTTAGGGCTTGAACTCAGGACCTTTGCCCCCTGCTTGGCTTTTTGGTTCAAGGCTGAAGGAACTCTACTACGTGACCCACATCTCCACTTGGGCTTTTTGCTGACTTTATTGGAGATAAAAGTCTCTTAGACTTAACTGCCCCAACTACCTTTGTCCTTTGGTTCTCCATTCTCAGCCTTCTGAGTAGCTAGGATTACAGGTGTGAGCCACTGGGCCAAATTCTGATTATTATTGCTGTCAAAATACCTCAATTTAGAAAAACATATACCAACTGACTCTTCTGGTCCTCTCTCTCTCTCTGAAGGTTGATGGACAATTTCTGTACTTGTGAAGGGTCCAGCGTGCCTCGCTGTCTCATGTATGAGATTTACATGGAGACCTGTGGGCAGAATGCTCAAGACCAGGTCAATCCAGCAACATTTGGGAAGGTATGTTAACACTATGAGCACTTTATTCACACTATACCATGCATTGAGTAAGGAAAACAAGGTGCTGTCCTGTGTCAGTCAGTGATGGAGATATGATCTTGTTAGGCAGTTTCATCATCTTTGAAGATCTTACAGTGCACACACACAGACTTAAGGATACAATCTCACAGGATCACTGTGAATATGCGGTCCATTGTTGACTGACAGAAGCATTATCATGTGGTGCCTGACTGATTGGGAAGTATTTGAAATGTACTGGAGTCTAATGGGGTATCAGTAAGTACAGTAACTTCACTGTGGGAAGCCAGCCCACTGGTCCACAGCCTTCATCTCCACTGAAAAGCCACTTTCCTTTGGCAGGGGCCAGGAAACATGAAGAACTATACCCAAGGAAGTGTTTCTATGGCAAATCCAAACACTCTTTAAAGAGCCAGGTTGGATGGGCCACTCACTCCTGGTTAGAAACTCAAAACTCAGTGCAACACAAGCTCTGAGCCACTCTAGAGGTACTCAACAACTGATGTTTCCCACAATTCAGTTGTATTTAAAGAACTCACTGGCTCTTAACGATTTCCTTTGGAGGGAAATCATTGAGATTACCCAGAGTAATTCTATGTTTTGGGATATAGGCTTGGGACCTATATTCTAGAACTTCACTTAAGACCCCAGAAAACATTAACACAGGGATAATCAGAGACACTCTGCATTCAACAGATGCTTACTTAGCAGTATCTCAGTGCCTGCTTTAGCTGCTCAAATGAGAGCAGTAATCAAGAGAGTTAAAAGTCTAGTCCTTATTGAACTTGCAGTCTAGTTGTTCACAGCCACAGAGCTCATTTGTGCTGTTTCCTGGTGAGGAAAACAAACCTAGGGTTCCCCAGCTAGTCACAGCATGTAGATGGCAAGCCTACCGCTAGAATCAAGGCCCCAACCCCATGCCACTAAGTGTCCAATGTATGAAGACAATGGAGCTCACTAGGTCTCTAACACACACACACACACACACACACACACACACTGTGAACTTTATATGCAAACAAGGTCCCATCTCTCCAGGCTGCAAAGACATAAAGTCAAGTGAGAAGCAGCACATTTATACAAAGGAAGAGTGTGGTTTGTCCTCCAGGTAAACAGTCCATACCAGAATTTGTCGTTTGGCAGGAAGGGCATAGGTTTATGAAACTCTGTTCACCTTATCGGAAGCCTTGGTGACATTTTTACAACCTGCACATCTATATCGCTTTGGTGTCCATCTGGCATGGGATGAAATAATTTGTGTTGCAAAGAGTTTGCTCACAAGGTCACAAAGCTGCCTGTTTGCTTTCCTCCCGTCTTCCCTCTTTTTCTTCCCTTATTTTCACTTTCTCCTTCCATCCTTCTCTAATTTTTAGGCGTCTTCCGTAGACAGAATTGAGTTGGTTCACAGCACACTTTAATCAAATGTGCATGCATAGGCTCACAACTATAATACTAGCTACTCAGTCCAGGATCACAACAAATTGGAGAGAGACTCTACAAATGGGACTACCTTAAAATAAAAAGTTTCTGCACAGCTAAAGACATAGCAACCAAACCAAAAGACATAGCCAACTAGCTGGGAAAAAATATTTACCAGCAATATATCAGACAAGGGGTTAATATCCAGTATATACAGGGAACTCAATAAACTAATCCCTCCCAAACCTAACAAGCCAATTACTAAATGGGCAAGGGAACTAAAGAGAGACTTCTCAGAAGAAGAGATAAAAATGGCAAAGAAACACATGAGGAAGTGTTCACCATCCCTGGTTGTAAAGAAAATGCAAATAAAGATAACCCTGAGATACCACCTTACCTCAGTCAGAATAGCCCACATCCTAAAGTCAGCCAACGACAAATGCTGGAGGGGATGCAGAGAAAGAGGAACCCTATTACACTGCTGGTGGGAATGCACACTTTTACAACCACTTTGGAAAGCAGTCTGGAAGGTCCTCAGAAAGCTAAATATTGACCTCCCCTATGACCCAGCCATACCACTCCTAGGCATCTATCCTGAACAACAGGAACCAGTATACAAGGACACATGCACCTCCATGTTTATTGCAGCACTGTTCACAATAACTAGGATATGGAAACAACCCAGATACCCCACTACAGATGAATGGATCCAAAAATTGTGGTACATATATACAATGGAATATTATGCAACCATTAGAAAGGAAAAACTAATGGCACTCACAGGGAAATGGATGGAACTAGAAGAAATTATGCTGAGTGAGGTAAGCCAAGAGCAAAGAGACAAATGGCACATGGTCTCCCTGATAAGCCGATGTTAAATCCAAAACGTAAGGGAACACGACAAAGTAAACAAGACTGGAGAAACAAAGGACATCCACTCATATGGTTAAATCATTATTAAATGACCCCATGCGGCTGACCACATATATGGCATATATGTGCACATCTGAGGGAAACTAGGAGGAAAACACAGAAGCAGAGGGAAACAGGAAAACATACAATAGCAGGACCCATCAGCTGCACTGGTCATTGATCAAAACAAACTAAGCAACTCAATGGCAGCGATGGGAGGGAGGGAACGAGTGGGAAAGAGGGAACAGCTGACACTAAGCAAAAGGAAAGAAATGTACATATCACCCAATGTGGAAGAAATAACTGTCTTATCAAAGCTCATAGAACTCATAAACTTTATAGAAAATTTGCCCCATGAAGGTTAGAATGTGTTTGTGACTAAGTACCACTATCCCACAATATTGTGAAATTTGTGAAATTTAAGTAATCACTTCATCACAATCAAAAAATTGCAAAAAAAAAGAGTAATGAAGTAGTTTATGTTGGCATTGACAATCCCTTCATGAGTACTGTCTTAGGGACACATTCCTCATTTAAGAAGGCTCTTGCATTTGTTGTGAAGGATCTTGGATTTTATGAATAATCATGCCGTTTGTATGTTGCTTTGCTAGATGATTTCCTTACTCAGTTTTCAAATAAAGAAAACTATGTCTAACATTTCTATCAGTCCTTAGTTCATGATCACCCCAAATATATATAGTAGGTTGTATACATTTGGCGAAAGAATTATTTCAAGTGTGGACTACAGGAAGCGGAACCATCCTGAGGTTGTAGATTGGGAATGTGTAGTGGCATTTAAGCAAACAAGACAGACTTAAATATGTCTTTGAGTCTTAACTGTTTTTTTGCAAAATTCATACAATGGTGCGTTCAACTCCATGGTTTATTGTAGCCTGGTGTTTTCATCAATGAAAGCATTTTCTCCAAGTAAGCTCAATAAAATTAACAGATCAATGGGAAAAAAAAAAACTAGCTACTCAGAAAGCTACTCAGGAGGATTGAGGTTCAAGACAGAATAGTTTAATGGACTCCATCTTCAATTACCTATCCCACCTCCACTCCCCCCCGAAAAATCAACTAGGCTGTAGATATGGCTCAAAAAGGTAGGATGCTGTTTTTCCTTATTTGCACTAACTAGTATACATCTAGGACAAGCAGAAAAGGTCAAAAGCTGTGTACATATGACCATATAAAATGATGCTAAGTGGTGGGGGAGAGTGGAAGATGAGAAGGGATGGGAAGGGGAAACAAAGGAGGAGGCAACAATGCTTGATAAGAAATGTACTTCCTCTGTATGGTATTTTCACAATTAAAAAAAAGTGATGCTAAGCAAAATGAACCCCAACATAGGGACACAAGTGGTTTTATCTTTGTTGTTGTTGTTTTTAATGTACTTATAATGTACTCTGTGATTTTCTTTTGTTTCTTTTGTATGTTCTTCCCCCACAGTATAACTCCTGTTTTGACTATATTTGATTGTGGTGCCCTGTATCTTGCATATACGTTTTTCTAATTTGGGGAGGGGAAGGGAAATAACAAAATGCTGAAATAAGGATACAGGTGGACTCATTGTAACAATGAGATGTACAAGACACTGTGTTGAAAATGAACTTTATAACTTGGGTGGGGGGAGGGAGGAGTTGGGGAGGTGAGGAGGGAAGGGACTGTGGGGAAAAATAAAGGAGGGGATAACAATGCTCAATAGGAAGTGTGTTCATTATCTCACTCACATCACTGTAACCCCTCTGTACAGTATCTTTGCAATAAATATATATATATATATATTTTTTTAAAAAGGTAGGATGGCAGCTTAGCAAGTGGTTCAAACCCAGTACTACCAAATATAAATAAATACATATATTTCTTATCCAGGAACTAATTAGAAACATAAGTGGTTAGATAAGCTCTTTTTAATGTGATAAACATCACACCTCCTAAAATGAACCCTTTCCTATCATCCTGGCCTCCTGACTGGCAAGAGCTGTGTCCTGGTCATCATCATTGTCCTTGCCTTATGAAGACAGTTGAGCAAGCCAAGGGTGGCGCATAATGGCAGGGTCCTCAGCATATTTGAGGCCTTGGGGGGGGGTCCGGTCGTGGGGCCTGAACTCTGGGCCTGGGCGCTGTCCCTCAGCTCTTCAGCTCAAGGCTAGCGCTCTACCACTTGAGCCTGGCTTCAATTCTAAGCACAAAACCTAAAAATAAGTTTTAGTGCATTTGCAGGTGTGAGGACCTATTTTAAATTTTTGTTTTTTTACCTCTACTTCAACGAGTTTTGTATTGTCTACAATCTTTGGAGCAACATTTATTGACTTACTATTATATTCTGAGTGTACTAATGTCACTTGACTGTTATGTAATATCTCACAGTTTATGCATCACTCTCCCATGCCTGGATATTTGGGCTATTTCCTCATATTACCACCGCGAGCCCTCGTGTACCTGGGTTCAGGTATGCATATGGCAGCTTTCTCTTGGATGACGTAGGTCAGTGAACTAGCAGAATCAGAGGGTATGTGGCCAGCAATGCCAAGACCAAACCCTTCCCAAGATTGTTGCTCCAAGTTACTTCCCGCCAGCAATCTGTGGGCTCCAAACTTACTTCAAAATATTGAAAGCGTAGAAACATTCTTCCAATCAAAATCCTCATT